CCCGCCCCAGACCCCTGGCAACCACTGATCTTTTTACTATCTCCATAGTTTTGTTTTTTCCCAAAATGTCATACAGTTGGAATTGGTCAATTATTTGTAACCTAATACATTTGGGGGAGATTTTCAACTACAAGGCTTGAGACCAAGGATTTCCAATAGAGTCTCTGCAAACCCCAAATTCCAAAAAACTGGAACCTGGACTCCCTGCAGTTTTCTGGTTGGTGGTGATTCTGCTGTGACTTGGCTGGGCCACAGAAAGGGATGAAGAGCTGCCAACAGGGAAGGTGTCAGTGTCCGTGGCACATCTGGATGGGCTACAGATGGGCTATAGATAGGAGACTTGGCAGAAGTACGTGTCCAGGCTCCCTGCATATATAGTTTTTACGTTTCTAGCTCTTGACTTAGTCATTCCTGATTATCATGTAGAATGCAAAAGCAAAACTTGGAAAATCCCCAGAAACGAGTTCTTGGGTCATCCAGTTCAGCCTTCACCAGGCCCTCTTTTGTTTCTTGGCTGTCCAGGTGTGCGAGAAAGAGAAGCTGTTGTCAGAGAGGAACCAGCTGAAAGCGTGCATGGGGGAACTGCTGGACAACTTCTCCTGCCTTTCCCAGGAAGTCTGCCGAGACATCCAGAGCCCCGAGCAGATCCAGGCTCTGCATCGGTACTGCCCCGTCCTCAGGCCCGTGGGGCTCCCTGCACCCTTAGGCGTTGAGCAGAACCTTGCCACCCCGCAGTGTGCAGTGGGGGAAACCGTGCCCTGCTGCTTGGAGCAGGGTGCAGCTCCCCAGGGGCCTCCCTGGGCCCCCACCAACGCCTCAGAGAATTGTACTTCTGCCAGGAGGCTGGAAGGCCCTGACCCAGGAAACTTCTCAGAAAGAGGACCTCCTCTTGAACCCAGGAGCCAAACGGTGACAGTGGACTTCTGCCAGGAAATGACTGATAAGTGTACGACTGACGAACAGCCCAGGAAAGATTACACCTAGTGACAGCCTGCCTCCCAGTTCTCACACCTCTCCCACCCAGGTGTTCTTCGGTCAGCCTGTGGCGCCGTTCCTCTGTTGTCTAGAAGAACCGAGAAGAAATTTGGTGCACACTACAGCGGTCTTAGCAGCAATACTGTTTCTAAGTATTCCCTCCTCTCTTCACACAGGAGTGATAGTTACCTTCACAATGGTGCTACCCCTTGCTCCGGCAAGGAAAGACGACAGTGATGACACTGTCTGTCTGTGGGTTAATTTCAATCTTAACAGGGATAGACTAGAACACCTCTAGGACCCAACCACGGATTTTTTTCTCAGTGGCCCATGTCACAAACCCTATCTCAGGAATTTCTTCTGAATGTTCAATTTTTTTCATTGAAGACAGCTTCTATACACATCAAAGTTTTATAGCTAGACTGTACATATTATATATAATATATAGATATGAAATATATATATCTCCATATGCAAAAGTCTTGCATGCCTCAATTTTCTCATCCTATAACTGGAAACTTCATTTCTCATTTACATACAGGTTCCAACATTCCTCTTCTTTTGTCTCTGATGCTAGAACTAGTTTGACAACTGTTAACATGGTCATTTTTCTTGCTTCCCAGTTCAACTTCACTTTGTACTTATTTATGGATAGAATTCAATGTTGGAAGCTTTTTTTGAGGTTTTATTTTAGACAACCTGTTTTTTTGTTTGTTTGGTTTGGTTTGGGCACCATGAGATGGTGTCGATTAAGTATTGTGGGTTTGTTTGTTTCTTGCAGATACTGTACAGTCATGGTCAACTTTGCCACTTGCACTGAGTTTTGGGTCAAACCTATTTTCTTAAATGAAGTTGTAACTTCAGTATAACTCAAGTATACTGTATATTCTTTGCTTTTAGTTAAAAAAGTAAAACATTTTAGCTAACTAAAAACCACTCAGGTGATAATGATGTAGGAAAAACAATCTTGCCAAATAACGAATTCATCCTAGGATGTGTCGACAATAATCTGCTTGAATATTTTTATATTTCACCTCCTCCCCACCTGTCCCTAAGCAAAGTTGAAATGCATAGAGTTCAGAGTTGATGCTGGATGTTCAGATTCCTAAGTGGGGAGAGAGTTTGGGCATCTTATGCGAAAGTGCATCAAAACAGTAGACATCCATGATTTTTATACCAGAACTCAGCAGGCATTGGCTCCTAGAAATCAAGTTAGAACTGTTTTCTCACGGGGGGGGGTGGGTGTTAAGTCCCATTCATTTCAATGCTTCGTCAGGCCTCGCTTGCTCCTGGAAGGGTAGCGCGCAGTAGGACCTTCTCCTTTGGAGGACTTGGCTGATGAGCCACCCGGCTTCCCTGCCCGGACCGGCCTCCCAGGAGAACTCACCTAAGGGGATTTGAACAGCTTCCCCCCTCCCGGGTACTGCCTCTGTCTGGCTGTCCTGGGTGAATGCAGCTCACCCAGTGTTGGAGAGAGCAGGGCAGGTGTGAGGCTGAGGTCTGTCCCTGATGCAGACAAAAGCGTTTCTTTTTCCTTCCCTTCCTTCTCCAAATGCTTTGAGTTGAATTCTGAGGTTTTCCACCAGTCTCTTGTCCGAAGGGAGATTTCATTCTGAGGCTTTGGACAATGATCTGGCCAGGAGCCCTCCCTGCCCCGCCTCCACCATACGCACACACCTACCCTCACCTGATGATACGTTTCTTCTCTTGCTGCAAAACTGGTTGGTTGGCTTGCATCCCACAGAGAGCAGCTTCCCTTGGCTCTGGGGGCGCTTTGGCCCCTGGCCACGTTTACAGGAAGGTGTGCCCAGCGAGGTCCTGCAGCCAGCCTCAGAGGAGGAGGAATCAGCTCCCTCCCTCCAGTGGGCCCTCCAGCCTGGCTGTGGGAAGAGTCCCGAAGGGTTTGATGTGGGGGTGGGGGGTGGGCAGTGGGGACTAGATGATTGACTTTGTTTCTTTATTTGTGCCATTGTTTGGACAATAGTAAAGCTGCATGTAAAAGGGGGAATTAGTATAGGATGTAGGAGAAAAGTGAAATCATAGAAACATATGTTTTAGTATTAACTTTTTTCTGTACAAATATTAGCGCTAAATGTTTAAATATGTATGAATGCCAGAAATGTGTTGGTTCATGCGGTAGGTTTTTAAAAAAAAAAAAAAGGAAAAAAAATAGGCTTTTCTTTTAAACTTGTTTCACTTTTAAAACCTGCCTCTGGGTTTTCGTTCTTTTCTCATGTGTGTAGGTATGTGTGTGTGCTTGTCTGAGACAGATTTCAATAAAGCTCTGTTGGAGCTACCGTTTTTATGACGGTTGTTGGAATTTCTTGGCCTAGTAGACCGTTCTGTGCTTCACAGTTGAGGTTGGCCTTTATGGAAAACTGGTGACAGCTCGAATTTAAACTCAATGTGAATCACATGATCCATCACAGGTATGTGTTATGGTGGAGTCGGCCAACAGTATTTTGTTTCTTAACTCTCTTGTTGCCTTTTTTTAAGTGACCTCCTCTTCTTTTAAAAAAGGAATGTTTTCTGCTCAAATCATCACCAGGTCCAAACCACCTTGTTGGCGTGATTTACCCTGGTAACAACTCAAGTGCAACTGGTAGTCTTGACCACATTCCGTCCATCCCCCTCGCTGTGGTTGGGGCTGCACACACCTACCTGTGTGGCCGCCGTTTCTGGGAGGGAGGGGTCTCTTTCTCTCCATCCTAACTCAGCCCACATCCTCCTCCTGCCAACACCCGCCTCACTTTTATTCCTTTCCCAGCCGAACACCCCTGCCCTGGGAACTGTTTAAAGATACTGCTTGAAAAACTGTCTTTCGATTTCTTAAGAGATTTTGAACAAGTTGTTGCGATTTTCTTCATTATCCACCATGAACAGCGACTGGCTTTGTGCAATGTGATATGTCTGTGTCTGTTACTGCTCTAAACCATGTGTTTGTCAAAACTATTTCTGAGTTGATTCAAAGGAAGGACTAGCTGGGGACCAGAATCCAAATGGCCTCAAGTGGAATTTTAAACAACAGCTGTCTCCTGGGATCTCTTGGTGGCACTGGTCTTCTATGAAAAGGAAAAGCAAGTTAACAGCAAGGAATAGTGTTTGCACAGCATGGTGACAGTTAGTTGTGTTTTTTAGAGTCTTCCTTACAAAAATAAAGGACCCTGCAGCCATGGACTGTTTAGGGTGATCCCAGTGACAGCTGAGTTGGGTCCCTAAATGTCTGGGGTAGGCATGGGTTGTAGATGGCCCTGTGGCTGGTTAACATCTGCCTGAATCTAGTCCTCCCCTTGGATCTACCTTTGTTCTACTTGTGTCTCCAGACGACCTCACTTCATTCAGGTTGGTCAGGCTTTGGGCAGGTGAGTGCTTTGCTGTATGTGTTTGTTTCTCTGCGTTATCTGGGGGTGCCTTGAATAATTGAACTTCATTACATACTGATTCTGGAACAAAACAGTTGGATAAAAGAAAAAAAAAAAAGCTGGCGAAGTTATTAGGCCTTCCTACTACTTCTCTTCCTGGTTCCCTAACAATGACTCAGGCGTCAGAGGGTGATGCTGCAGTAGAAAACGTTATTTTGTATATTGTACAAGTAATTTATTAACTGTCTTTCTAACAGTATGCTGCTTTTAAGATGCACTATTATTTGGGATTTAATCCTTGTAGTGCTTTCCCAAGGAAGTAAAAAAGAAAAGCAAAACAAAAGGCTAATGATTAGTATGCCAACTGCCACTTCTTAAAAAGGAGGGCAGGGAGCAGCCAGAGGACTTGCATGAGAAGACTGCTCAAAGTCAAGTGGGCACAATGTGAAGTTCAATGCTGTTGTCAAGAGCTCTAAACCTACACTTACTCTTTGAATACTTTACGATTGCCATTAAAGAAGAAGAAACAAACAAACAAAGATGTGAAAAATTCTAAGCCTTTTAAGAACCCGCCAGATCCTGCCCCTATGAGCTGTGGAGGTGCATGATGCTCTCAAAATGAGGAAAAGCCTGAAAAGCTCTTTCAAATCTCTTTTTGGCTATCTGGTTCGATACATTATACCCTTAATAAATGACTTCAAACTGCTCCACTATTGCTTACAGCTTTGGAGGAGTCACCGATCTAGAAGGGAGCAAGAATCAAGTTTTGTACTCAAAATCACTGTAAATAGACTAAGGAACCTTTAAAATATATATATATATATATATAGCTGTTCACTGGATCATGAGTTAGTGTTTCTTCCCAGAACTGAGGATTTTGATGCAGGTTGTTTCTGATCGGTCCACAGTGCAGCCCCATGTGGCGTTGGTTTCTGTGCAGAAGTCTGTGTGCGTGGAGGCATCCTGTGTTCACGCTGTATGTTCTTAATACTACCCGAGCCATCTCATGACCCAAGCATCCGAGATTGATGCTGCAGAATAGACTATACTTGTACACAGATAGTGTGTGCAGGTAGTATTTGTACATAGAAAAGACTTATTGTGGCAGACTGAGGATAAATTATTCAATCGACGGTGCAAAAACATTTCTTGCAAAGAAAAGTAAGTGTATAGTATTTTCCTACACTCCACCCTGGGAGATAGTATTTATATCAAATGAGTATCAGTGTATTTTAATTGTAATATGAAAATGATGCTGCCATTTGTGAAGAATACCCTCTTGGTTGCAGAGGCCCACTTTTGTAGCTTTGATACCATGTTGTGGCATGGTGTACGCATTTCACTATTAAGCAATGGATAAGCAACTCAGACTCTCATTTTCATTCCAGTTTATTGACCTCAGATAAAACAGTGGCCCTCCGTAGAAGCAGAAGTGCACCAAGACCATTCATTTCAGGTAGATGCTCATTCGATGCCAAACGGGGGTGATCAGACACGTGTATCAGGAAGGAATGAAGGGACTTGGACAAAGAAGGTGTTTTTGTACAGATGGATGCTAAGTCTTCTACCAAAACATGTCTGCAGGCAGAGGGGTGACCCTGCTTGAGTCCTAAGGCATTTTGCAGGTGGGAATGCTGGGGCGCCCATTCACGCTCTGACGTAAAGGACCTGCCACTTCTAGTGAGTGATCAGGAAGACTCCAGATGTATTGGGGAGCTTCAGGTGCTGGTTAGACACAGTGAACGGTTCGCAGCAAGCACCACCTTGGCTTGTGAGGCCCAAAGAGCCTGTGAGAATTTGTTCCAGAACCAGTCTGATGCAAGTGCACCTCTAATATATGCCTTACAAATTCCAGAGGCCATATTCAAAACAGGGTCTTCTCAGTGTATGCAAGGGGCTGCAGCCCCTCTTCTCCTCCTCCCCAGGTCGAACAATACGGACAGTTTTCACACATATCTACCTGTATAACCCTCTGTACCTCTCATAACTGGTCAACGACTGTAACAGGTTACATCAGGTGTTTTTCTACATACTTTTTACACAGATTCTATGCGATTAATGTAACTTAATTCAATGCATCATTTTATTGTACTAGTTCTTAGGCTTGTCTTTTTTTTTCTAAGTGATTGTGGTTTTTCTTGTGGTTTTTATTGTAAGATGAAATGGCTGTTGATGCTTATTCTCTGTAACTAAGAATTTTTACCTTTTTGGGGATAAAAAAGCATTGCTATGAACTAATGAATTGAAACTTCATTTACTTGTTGTAAATACACTATTGTGCAAAAAAAATTTTACTCATTTGAATTGCTAGTGTTAACTGAATTTTGTCTAGACACCATTTCTGTTTATGAAATAAAGACATATCATTATGCATTGTAAACGGACTTTCTCTGCCTCTGATCCCTGTGTTGCAGATTACAGAGCTGGAGGCCTTAGGAAATGTCTTCTCCCAAAGAAACCATGTCTCTTCCTCTAGTTTGGACCCTTACCTCCCACCTTATTAATCTGATTAGCAATCTAAAAAACACTAATGTGAAAATGCTAATGTGATTCCTCAACTATGAGTTTAAAAAAATCCCTAGTGCCTCTAAGAGCAGATAAAAGGCATTAAACCCAGTTTCCCCGATTGGATATGTTGCTGTAACCTATGCACAACGTCACCACTAGGCGGAGCTAGGGGAAGGGTATTGTTTCTTACCATGGCGTGGGAATCTACAAGGATCTCAAAATAACAGGTTTAATTTCAAACAAAAAGCCAGATGAAAGTAAACAAAGGGAAAAGGATCAACAGCAAGATACAATGTGGGGCAGAGCAAGGAGTTTAGAATTGTGGTCAGGGAGTAAATACAGTTGATCCAAAAAAAGTATTTGATCATTTAGTCTTGGCTTTCAATGTAAAGGGAAAACAAGATTTTGAATGATGGGCAAGCGAGAGGACCATAAAAAACACTGGACGCAGGGGCAGTCTGGCTGAGCTGTTAGTGAGGCTGTAAATAATAATAAACCTATTGACAAGACCTGACAAAACAGCGGTGAATAAGGACTAAAGACTGGAGAATTGGAAGTGATGGGTAATGTATTGTCTTTGGCCTCTATACTTCATTCAACCAACACTGCTACATGCTGGGCAAGATTTCAGATGCACAGGCCTTATCCTTAAAGCTTTCACAGGCTAGTCGAGCAGACATGTACAAATAAATCACTGCCCAGAGGCTGCTGGTTATTACGGACAAGAGAGAGCAGGGCTTCCTGGAAGGAGCATGGGCCTAGCTCTGGGTTTGAATTTCAGCTGCACAGCAGGCACTTCAGCGTGTGATCTTTAGCTCTGGAGCAAGTTACTTAATCTCTTTGAGCCTTCTCTGATCTACAATACACAGTTAGTTGTACAGGTATAATGTGACGCACCTGGAATATGGCACGCCCCTTAAAATGGCACCATTTGGGCTTGGCCCAGTGTCATTTTCATCCACCTGGTCTTCAATAGCTCTTCTACCAACTCATTATGGAACAGATCACATGTCTTCACATCTCCACACCTCATTTCCACCTTTGCAGATTGACTCAGGAGCCACCTGGGCTGGAAGGACAGACCAGTCCCATCCAATTTTGGGCTTTTCTGCAACATCCCAGGCAGTTACTCACTGTATTAGTTAGGGTTCTCCAGAGAGACAGAACCAATAGGAGATAAATAGATACAGATATACATAGATATGAGACGTATCATAAGGAATTGACTCACACAATTATGGAGACTGAGAAGTCCTACAATCTACCTTTTGTAAGCTAGAGACCCAGAGAAACAGGTGGTAGTTTTGAGAACTATAGAGCCAGGAATAGAAGTCATAGTCAAAGGCAGGAAAAGGCTGGTGTCCCAGCTCAGGGGAGCTCACTTCAGCTGGTTAGAAGGTGCTTCCTAAAAATAAGTTGCATGTAGTATGTGCCTCTTTTTGCAAAAAATGAAAATTATCTACCAAGAAAGAAAAAAGTACATGTTACTATAATTACAGGGCTGATACAAAGAAAGGTATACTGGATGGAGGGTTGGCTGAGAAGGAGTGGCTGGAACTGCCTCTGTGAGGCCCCAAAAGGCAGACACGCAGATGGAGGTTTCCAGCAGCTAACCTCTCTGTGGGCAAGGACACGGGAAGCGAGAGCTGCAAGCAATTGTTAAGGTGCATGAGGTAGGGGACGAGGTCGGAGGCAGGGGCCAGCACGTGAAGGCTTTGTGTGCCAGGCTAAGGAGTTTGGATTTTATCCCACAGGACAAAAATGATGCAGAGCTTTGTGACACTGGACCAAATTGATTCTCCTAATAACTTGAAGCCTTTATTCCAAGGTATGTGGCCAGGGTTGGTGGACAGTCTGGCCATGAGATAGAGAATGGAAGAGCTAAGTGGCTCTTCCATGGGAACTGGGCCCACCTTTATGGCTCTCAGAATTCAGACAGTAACAACCAGACAATCAGCCTCATGTATTGGCTAATTAGTGCATATCACGTGCCCGTCCATGTCTCTATGCTCTATAAGAAGAAGCATTAAGTACTTTTTTATGCTCCTTTCCTGGATGGCTCAGGACCCCTGGGAGAACAAGGAAGGCAGGGAAGAGTCACTGCCCTGGAAGTCCAGAACGAGATCCCGCCCAGCACCTGTTAACCCCCAGTCATGGCATCACCACTGACCCTCCATGATCCCAGCAAAAGGACAAAGAAAAATCATGCAATGCGAGTGTTTTCCAATATTGTAATTAATATTTTATGTCATGGTATTTGTGACAAAAATCCAGCTGGTTCATCCTCAAGAAATGTACTGATGAGAGGAAAAGAACAAATTTCTCATCAACTGCTCCTTTATAGACAGGAAACTCCTGGGCTGCTCTGGGCCCATGTTCAAGGGTCCAAATTTCTGCTGCCCCCACTGCTGCTGCAGAGCTAGGGTGCTTGCTCAGCAGCACGTCCCACTGGGCTGCTGGGTAGGGGAAGGTTCGCCATAGCCCAATCCTTCTCACCTCAGGGTGACAGCAGCTCTTACCCCTAGATTTTCTCGAGCAGTGCCCACTTCCTTCCTGCCTGATCCCTGCCTGAGCATCAGACCTGCCTCAGGCAATGAGGCCATCCGGGGCAGTGAGAGTCCACCCCAGCCCCATCAGGGAAGGGTCTCCTGTGTTGGGTGAGCCCAGCTGGAAGCAACCTAAACACATCCATCATCTGGCAGCTGTCTCTGTGGAGGGGATGGTTCCTGCAGCTCTTTCTGCAGTTTGAGCTGACAAGGTACACCTTTTCTTCTGCAGATACCAGCTGCTTCTGGGTCCATTTTTCTGACCCCAGGCATGCATTATTTTTTCATGATAGATGAAAGTTCTAGAAGCATGTTCTGAAAGAGGAAACAAAACAAACAAAACAAAATAGACTCAAAGTGCTTATACAAGTCAATCCTGCCCTCCCACTTGGGGCTCTATGTATGTCACAAATAGCAAGGATCCAATTAAAACCTGCTGCAGAAGACAATTCTCCCTATGTTTCCCCAGAGATGAATGCCCATTTAAGAGATTCAATTGCCTGCCAGCGTTACTGTGAAATAGCTGAATCCCACCTGCCATCTCTTTCTCCAGCTGTCGCTTTGTCCAAAACCAGGTCTCAAACTAAAAAGCCAACCTTTTCCTAAGTCCCATCTTTGCCCCCTCTACAATTAACCAGATTTTTGACATTCTATAATGTGGAAGGGAACATTGATCCAAATGTGGAATGTAATGTTCTATTTTGTAATGATCTCTCCTTGATCCTAAAAATATGCTAAACTTCAGCTGCCTTGCACAGGGAAAGCAAGAAGCAGCAATGGGGTACCGGAGAAAAGGCTTGGGTTGAGTCAAACAGGCTTGGTGTGAAATTCCAGCTCATTCACTCATCCAATAAATATTAATTTTTGTCTCTGCTATGTCCCAAGGACTGTGCTTCACCACATCCTAATTGTGTGACTTTGGACAATTCATCTGTTTTCTTATCCATAAAATGGGAATAATCACAGGCCTGTAATAAGGAAGACGATGGCGATTTCTAGACCACAATCACACCCTTCATAAAGTGGGTTTCTTTCCTCTCCTTCTTCAGAGTTTCTGAAAATTGATATATTATGTAAAACTTCTCAGCCAAAGGGGTCTATAAATTACAACAACCACCCTCTAACCACCATTAACCCTTGTTAATGATGTTGCATCAAAAAAGACCTTCCCAAATGAGACAAAGAACCTAGAAATAACAGAGATTTTAGATTTAATATTAGAATTTTTAAGATGCCATAAACAGGGATAAGAGACAAGCAGACTGGGAGAAAATCTTTATATTATATTATATTATATTATTATACTAATTATATTATATTATATTATATTAATTATATATAAAATCTAGGTAGACTGATTCCTACGCAAGGTATGGCTTTAGTGCAGTAACAAAATACCTCTAAACTCATAGGAGATATAAAACTGGGGTAGAGGGATTCAGTCATTACTAACACAAAGAATGAAACAATAGAAAAAGCAACTATGTGAGCTTAACTAAATTAGCTCAACTGGGAAGTTCCCCCTATAAATTTGAAACAGTTGTGGTTTTTTCTTTGGGGGGTTGTTGTATGTTTGGTTTAGGTTTGTTTGTTTTTTAAACAGTAAAAAGCTGCTAGAAGCAGTGGATAAAACAAGTGTCATCCTTTTTTTCCAGAATCAAGAAGAATCCACAAGTATACTTTATGTCTTACAATGACCAGGGAATGTTTATTGCACAGTGGCTTTTTAGAGAACAGAATTCAAATCAATACCATATTGATTTTAGTCTTTGTGAAATATATCCCCAAATATTTGTATATGACTTTTAAATGCCAGAGCTATTAAAACAATGGAGCATACCCTCCTTCCTTAGCTAGACAAGGGCAACTCAAGGTTACAAACGATCCCTCCTCTGATCCATTTTCCACACTGTGACAGAAAGAGCTTTTTTCTCAAGTGCAGCTCTGATCCCATCACTCCTCTGCTGCACATTCTGAGTTTTCATTGCCACCCTTCAGGCCTCCATGCTCCCTTCCACAGCCCTCCTGTCACCCTGTGCTCCAGCCATACACGGCTCCCCAGATAGCTCTGCTATGTCACACCTCTCTCCCTTTTTCAGTGGTGCTCACTCTACTGTGATGGCCTTCTTCCATGTACCCCACTCCTCCCAGGTCCGGAAAACCCACCATATCTTTGAAGACTCAGTTCAGTAGTCACTTCAACTATGAAGCTTCTAGACGATGTGATAAATATACACAATGGAATATTACTCAGCCAAAAAAGAATGACATCATTTGCAGCAACGTAGATGGATCTAGAGGGTGTTATGCTAAGTGAAATAAGTCATACAGAGAAAGACAAATACCATATGAATGCACTTTTATGTAGAATCTAAAAAACAAATCAAACAAACAAAATAGAAATAAACTCATAGATACAGAGAACAAACTGATGGTACCAGATGGGAGGGGGTTGGGGACTGGGTGAAAAAGATGAAGGGATTAAGAAGTACAAATTTGCAGTTACAAAACAGTCACATGGATATAAAGTACAGCATAGGGAATATAGTCACTAATATTATAATAAATATGTATGATGTCAGATGGGTACTAGACTTATCAGGGGGATCACTTCTTAAGTTATATAAACGTCTACTATTTCTGTACACTTGCTATACTATTAAATGTCAACTGTAATTGAAAAAAATTTTTTAAACTATGAAGGTTTTCTTGACCCATCCATAAACAAGTGAGCATTCCGTCCTCCTTCGGCCTTCTAACATGGCACCTTACACTCAATCACATTTACATGTTTACCTGTCTAACTTTTCCATCTAGATTCTGGCCTTTTGATGGCAGAGATGGCATTTTATCCATTTATATGACCAGCACTTACAAGACAGATTGATATAAAATAAGCTTTCAATAAGTTTATGTTGTGAGTTGAATTTAACTGAATGCATTAAATGAATTAACTCTCATAAATTGACCTCCCTTTTCTTCTCTTCCTCTCAACACAGACAGATACATACCGGGAAGGATGAAAGGGAAGGCTAAGAAGGGCCAGAGTGGAACATCTCTTGTGATGATTCCATGATCAGTCTGTTTGTCTTTAGTTACCATTGATGTTCTGTGCCCAATGGCTGAAGGCAGGAGTGAGGGGCTGTTTTCCAGGTGCGGAAAGTCCAAGCCAGAACTATGCCGAAAACTGGAGCTTCCTGAGTCACTGTGCTGCTGTCCCTTCTCAGACAGCCATCTAGACAGAAGGCTGGCCTTGCGACTACCCATGCGAGATCTGTCTGTCCAGATTCCACTCTCTCTCACGCTGCCATCGCTGTTTCTGCAGTGACTGTGCAAGTCTGTAAGAGGCTCCTCTGAGGATGGCAGGTCCTGGGACTTCTCCCAGGCTCCTATTGCATGAGATGGACTGCGCCTAGGAGCCATTGTTGCACCTCGCCAAGACTGGGACATTGTATTTTGTAGGCCAAAGGAGGAATGGTCCGGTCGCTGTCCCAGGTGCTGAAATCTAGCACAGTCATCCTAGGGATATGGGCTGTGGACATGGAGCTGTCCACTGTGCTGATCCCTCTCAGCCCAGTCTTTTCTACAGCAGCAAGGGTCTACCTCAAGTTGCCTGGGCTGCGAGATATGCCACAAGGTTTTAGATTTTGGCACATTGACTCGGATGACTTGCTGTTGATTGTTGGCTTGAGTCAAAGAGATTCTTTCAGACAAAGGGGGTGCAAATCATACACTGCTGGAGCACTGAATATTTTTTCAAATGGAATGGAGGGTCCTTTTCATCCTCAATGTCCTCCCTGCTGGACTTCTCATAAAATGCCCTCATGATTTTTCTGATTCCCAGATGAAATATTTCTAGTACATTGAGGAACAAAGAGATGCTGCAATGGTGTGCATAAAGAGCATGAAAATGGTTTTCTCTGTGGGCCTGGATACAAAGCAATCCAATGCATTGGGGCATGGAGGTTGAGTGCACTTGTAGAGAGGATGCATTTGAAAACCATAGAGAATATATTGGCCTATCATAAACCCTACTTCCAGCACAGATCTGATCAAGATGTGTAAGACATAAGTACGCAGCAGACAACCTTTCAGAGGGACTTTATGAATACTATTCTGCTCCTCTAACCTTCTCAGTTCTCTATCTTTTGTTGCTCCTCCAGTTCAAGCCCTGGATTTTCCATGTGGGCTCTAAGGTGTGACTTTTGCCTCTGCCTCTCCTTTTCAAAGGCCCTGAGTCTATAAAGGGCATGGCCCATATACATCAGAGAGGGAAAAGACATGAAGATGATCTGTAAAACCCAGAACCTGGCCAAAGAGAAAGAAAAAGCATCATCATAACAGATATTGTTGCAACCTGGCTGCTTGGTGTTGCAGGCAAATGCTGACTGTTCATCATCCCAGACATCTTCAGCAGCCACACCAAGTACCAGCATTCGGAAAATGAAGAGGATGGTCAGCCAGATTTTCCCCTCTATGGTTGAGTAGGAGTGAACTTCCTCTAGGATGCCACCCAATAAGTTCCAGCCTCCCATGGTAAGAAACTAATGTCTGAAATATAAAGAGAACACTGAGGTTAATAGCACCCATGGATGTAATGTATAAAGACACAGTCTCATCAATACAGCAGGTTCTTTTTTCATGTCACTAAAATTATGGAGGATTTTCCAACCCTAATATTTATGGCCTATGCTTGATGAAATAGAATGGTTCCAAGGAATATCAGTTTTTGAGGAAAAAAACAAAACACTAAAGACCCTGCACAATCTGATCCAATTTCCTTCCTATCCACTTCTCTCCCACATAAATTTGACTGTCATTCTAGTATACTCATTGGCTTTCATATTTGTACAATGCATTCTCTTTCACAGTTTTGCTCTTTTTTCTACCCATCTGAGATGCCCCATTTACCATACATCTTACAGGATCTTAAACTTCCTCCAGGAAGTTTTCCCTAGCCATCTCATGTCAGAGTGATTTTTCCCATTCCATTATCCCCACAACACAGTTGTTTATACCACTCATTTGGCACTGTGCCTAAAATGTGTTTTGTGATAGTTGTACCCTATGTCCCCCTTCCTGGAAAGGTACACCCTTTGCAGAGACAATTTCTATAGCATTTTGGTTTTTGCATACAGAAGGTATCAATAAGTAACAGTGGGTTGAATTGTCTTTTCATTTTAAAACTTGTTTTCTTGACCCTATCACTAGAACAATCATCAGCAGAAAAACAAAGATCCTCATTATATATTATTCATGGCTCCCACTGCAAGACTGAAAGTACAAGTAAAGAAATCAGTCAAGGGCCAGCCAAGTGGCTCAGTTGGTTAAGAGTTGGCTTGGGAGCGCGAGCTCTGAGCAGCAGGACCACCGATTCAGTTCCCACATGGGCCAGTGACGCTGCGCCTGCTACAGCTAACATTGTGAACAACAGCCCCACCTGGAGCAGGACTGCCATGAGTGGCGGCGTTGGTGTAGGCTGCAGCCCCTACTGCAGTGGGCTGCCATGAGCTGCCTTGAGCGGCCATCCAATGGCCGGTGACCAACTGCCTCAGCCGGGAAAGAGCACAATGATCATAATATCAACATGGGCCAGTGTAGTGGCATCCTCCACAACTAGACTGAAGAACAACAGGACAGCAACTTGTCTGTTCCCCTTCCCCGATTCCACAATAAAATCTTAAAAAAAATTAAAAAAAAAAGAGAGAGAGAGAGAAATCAGCCAAGTGGACCTTCACAAATTGGCACAGGTTGGCAGTAAAAATTAAGCAGATACAGAAACAGTACCTTTAATAAGACATATGAATACATCCATAAAGCCACCTCTAAAACAACATGTCTTCATGGAAGCTTTGTTAACTTAAAAGAAAAGTAAATATAAATCACTTCTCTAGCAACCTTTTAACCCGGAAAAGAATAGAGGCATAGCTGACATAAGTTACTTCGTTTACCCTGAAAAAATGCATGCTTTTCAAGGTTCAATGAGGTTAAAATACTATACTTGGTAGGCTTAAGGTTTCTAAGATGTGGAAGACTTCTAAATATGAAAGACATGGAGGAAAAAACAAGAAAGCATTATTAAGTTAAAACAGATAATGAAACAATTTTCTCCTTCCATAATTCATTCATTCAATAATATTTACTAAAATCTTACTATCACCTACGCATTTTGCTAGATGTCAGGGAATTCAACAATGAGCAAGATATGCCTGGTCCAACGCTCACAGTAGTCACTAAGGACTCCCACTAACATATAAAATGGACAAATAGTGAAAAAGCACAAATGAATATCAACTCAAAATTACAAGAGAAAAAAACATGGAATAGTTATATTTTCCCTACTTATTTCCAAACACAAAAATAAATTCTAAATGGAACAAAGTATTAAATGTAAAAAAAGTAAACCATAAAAGTATTAAAATGTAAAGAGTGTGTTTTATAATCTTGAAATAAAGGGAGGTTTTTATAAACACATCAACGCCAGAAATTACAATTGGAAAAAAAAACATATTGATTTTACCCAACAAAACTGAATGGCAAAAGTGGAGATGTTCAGAAAGCATTTGGGTCTAGAGAACAGCAACAACAAACAAACAAACAAACAAAGGTATAAACCAGAGATAAGCATTTCTGCATAATCATTGAACAGGTAGATGAGATCACTCAGGGACAAGAAGGCAAAGTAAGCCAATGACGGAAACCTGAGAAATAGCACGGAAAAAAGTCTACAAATGAAAATGAGAAATGGCCAAAGAAAGGGAGGGGGAAATCATGAGGGTGGTGTCACTGAAACCAAAGCAGGAGAGTTTCAGGGACAGAACATTTGACAGTGCCAAATACACATACACATACCATTATTTAAATAAATTAATGGTGGGATATATACACATATATAGCATGCTCAAGGATTCAAAAACTCAGTACTATTTGTAAAGATGCCAGCTCTCCTCAAATCAATTGATCCATAGATTCAATGTGAGATTATGTATCACTGAGTAAAATAAAACCGTGTGTGTGTGTGTGTGTGTGTGTGTGTGTGTGTGTGTGGTGTATATGTATGTGACTAGATGATCATGGAGGATAAAGAACAGAAGGATACACACCAGGAAGTTAGTATAGGTTACTGGAGGTCTGTAGGAGGTGATGAGAGTGGAGAGGGAGTTTGGAGCGGGAAGGGAGAAGCAAAAAAAAGGAAAAGACTCTTCTTCTAAGGAAACATGACTGATTTTTACACAGTGTACACATTTATGAAAATTTATACATGTATGTGCATATATATGTATACACAATTTTTAAAATAAAAATTTAAAAGTAGTAGATACTCCTAGAATTTGAAAGGGGTATTAATGAAACATATTTTATTCTATGTACTTGTGAATTGTTTGAAATTCAAAAATTAAGAATGTAGTCACATATAGTGCTTGCAAATAAAAAATTTGATTTTAAAATTTTGGACTTATGTCTCATTAACTGAAGCAATGATTTACTAAGTTCTATCCTCTCTTAAAGACTTTAGGTCCTTTCCCATAATCATTCGTTTAAAAATTTTTGGCCATTATTCTTTATTAAAAAAGAATACCTTTAGCACTTAAAAAAATGTAGAGCTTCTATTTCATATAAAAACCCTGAGGTGGGAAAGCTAACTCATTTCATTAACTTATTCTTTACCTGACAATCCTAAAGTATTTAATGCTTCTTTTTGCCACTATCTCCTTAAAAACTGGAAATTACTTTTAAAGAGCAAATAAACTAGGCCAACATGAAAAACAGAAATACAATCATACTCATATTGACATGTATGAGCAAGATCCTTTAGACAAACATTCCTGTTTCCTAAAAATAACTAATTTTTACCATTAAATGACTACAGGTCCTAGAAATATTCTTGAATTTTCTTTTATTATCAAATAGTAATTTAGCATCTCCTATGTAAAAAGCTGATGTGTCTTTCCTGGATTTTATTTCAGCTCGTAACTTACTGTCCCCACAGGGATTTCCTATATTTCTCATAAACAAAATACACGTATTTTCCACTTACTTTATAGGTGGCCAAAAAAATAACAACTGGGCTCAAAGAACCTTAAAGTTGGACGATGTGTAGCTAACTAGTGGAACAACTGCTGCTGGTTACAGATATAAAGGCTCTAATCAGCTGGCTGTGGGGCCCAATCCAAAATGAGCACAGTAATTTTGATTAATGGAGTCTAACCCAGTCCTCTCCTGAGGTGAACATGTTCTTCAGTGCTTTGTAATTCTCTTGTAATACTTCTTTCTAATTGGCACTACACTGGTGCCCCTCCTGGTGTATCATTTGGAAATGAAAAGTGAAACAAATGATAAGTTTTCTTTTTTTGTTTATGACTGATTACAGTGATTTGATTTGGGGTGCACTTCGTCCAGTCAATTGACTGCTCTAGGAATCTGTCACACATTAATGGGTCATGTCCAATTTTATCAACAGCTGCCTGGGGTGAGTCTCACCTCATCAAAAGTGAACAAATAATGAAATGACAATCAAACCCAAAGTGTTCTTGTAAATCATGCTATCCTGAAAGGAGAAACATCTTAAAAATAAATTAAGCATTTTTAGACCACCAAGAGGGGACTTCACCTGTCTGTAGATATTTTTACACTGAATCCTCTGAACAGTGAATATATTACCTACTCAAGAAAATATTTAGACCAGAAAGTAAAATAAAAGTCAACACAACAATATATCAAATTAAAAAAAAAAAAAAAAAAAAAAAAAAAGGATACC